AGTGGATATTCTTGACCGCCACTACACGACAAGAATTGTGGTATGTGGTGATTTGAATGGATGGGTTGGTACCGCTCGACCAGGGTACGAGTCGGTACTTGGAAAGTTTGGCGATAAAAGGGTTAATGATGCTGGCAAGCTTATACTGGCGGTGTGCAAGGAAAAGGGTTTTCTTGTGACAAACACTATGTTTAATCACAAGAAAATTCATATGTATACTAGAGAACGAAAGAATGAGAGAAGTATGATCGATTTGTTCCTGGTGGATGACCGACTGCGAAAACAGATGATGGATACGCGAGTGTTCAGGGGTGCTGACCTGGGAACGGATCACTATCTAGTGATTACTAGATTTAGGGGTCTGTTCGCAGGTTGGCGCTACCGGACGGCAATAACAGAACCACAGTCGGTCTGTCGCATCCGAAGCTGGAAGCTTCAGGAAGCGGATACTAGGGAGAAATATCATGCGAGGGTAGCCGAAAAGCTTGACACCATCGATGGCAGAAAAGAATGTGTAGAAAGAACATGGCAGAACCTTAGGGATGGAATGGTAAGTGCAGCGGAAGAAGTGTGTGGAACAATAAAAAGAGGCAGTAGTAAAAGAAGAGATGCATGGTGGAATGATGAAGTGAAAGAAGCTGTAAAGAAGAAGAAGAAAGCGTGGTTAGACTACTTGGCCTCTAGTAATGATAAGGATATGAGAGAGAAGATGAAAGAAAGATATAGGCTGCAGAAAGTTCACACGAAAGCACTGATTGAGGAAGTGCGTGAAAGGTGTAGAATGGAAGCGGACGAAAGGTTGTCGCACAACTTTAAGGAGAACTCCAAACTCTTCTGGAAAGAGGTTGGAAGGACCCGAAGTGGTGCGACGGCCTTAAGAATGAACAAAGTGCTTTCGAGAACTAATGACGTCCTCTCAGAAAAATCGGACGTCATGCAGCGATGGAGCGAATTTTATAGAGAAATGTATGCGTGTGATGATCTTAGTGAGGGATCCGGGGATGACGCCGTGACTGGTACGCCAGACCCGGACCTCGATGACACTGAGGTCATCAGTATGAAAGAGATTGAACGTGCGATTCGAAGTTTGAAATGTGGTAAGGCTGCGGGACTAGACAGAGTTACTGCTGAAATGGTCAAGTATGGTGGGCCTCGCGTCTGGGACAGCTTCCATCTGCTGTGCAATTTGTGCTGGCGGACGGGGGATGTCCCGGATGATTGGCGATCCGCAGTCATTGTGTCTTTATATAAAGGTAAAGGTTCACATTTTGACTGCGGGTGCTATCGGGCGATCAGCTTGACCAGTTTAGCAAGTAAAGTTTACTCGAAGGTTTTGACACGTAAGATGCAAGAGAAATCGGAAAGATTTCTATGGGAGGCACAATTCGGATTTAGACCTGGAAGAGGATGCACGGATCAAATGTTTTCTCTCCGCATGATCACGGAAAAGCTTCTGGCTGCTAACCAGAAGATTTTCTGTGCTTTTGTGGATCTTGAGAAAGCATTTGATAAGGTTGTATGGAAGAAAATGTGGGAACTGTTGCCGGGGTATGGTGTGGATGGTCGATTGCTAAGGGCTGTGCAGTCTCTTTACTGTGACTGTAAAGCCTGTGTGCGGGTAGGGTATGACCTGTCACCCATGTTTAACGTCCAAACGGGCGTAAAGCAGGGTTGTGTCATGTCTTCCTGGCTGTTCATACTGTATCTCGACAGCTGTTTACAGAAGCTGAAAGATAGCTGTTTGGGTGTGAAATTGGGTGACATTAAAGTAAATTGTCTGCTGTATGCTGATGATGCAGTGCTTATTGCACCATCAGAGGCAGAACTGCAGGCATTAGTCACGTGTATGAAAGAGGAATGTGAAATTAAAGGTCTCCGTTTGAATGCTAATAAAACTAAGGTTCTGGTATTTGAAAGGGACGAAGAGAGAACGAAGTGTGAAATATGGGTAAATCAGGAATGTCTAGAACAGGTAAATGAAATTGTATACTTGGGGAGTGCTTTTAGCCGGGATGGAAGATGTGATTTAGATGTGGACAGGCGTGTCGTTGCCGGGAACAAAGTCAATGGTGCCCTGACTGCGTTAGTCAAAAGGCAAGGCGTAGCGAAGAGTGCACGCCTTGCAATACATAACGCAGTGTTGGTACCGACTTTGTTATATGGCAGCGAAACCTGGGTATGCCAGAAGAAGCATAAAAGTAAGTTGAATGCAGTGGAGATGCGATCTCTTCGTAAAATGTGTGGCGTTACTATGGCCGACCGAAAGCGAAACGAAGAGATTCGCAATATGGCAGGTTTGAAAGATGACCTTATCACAAAAATTGATAAGGGCGTGCTTCGGTGGTTTGGGCACGTTGAGCGAATGAGTGAAGACCGAATGGTGAAGAAAATATATAGCGCGAAAGTTAATATTAAAAGGTGTCAAGGTAGACCGAGACTAACTTTCGAAGACCATGTGAGCAAATTGCTCGAAGAGGGTAGGGTCAAGAGTACTCGGATACCTAGACGTGCATGCATGAAGAAGATAATGAATCTGAAAGAAGCGAAAGAGGTTTGTAAGGATCGTGACACTTGGCGATCTGTTCTCTCTGGCTACCCCGTCAGGGATTGTGCGTGAAGATAAGTAAGTAAATAAGTTATAGAGAAAGTTTTAGAAGTAAATATTCTATTAAATTCACAAGTTATAATTTTAAATAATGAACCATACAAATAATCAGCACTATTTTTAAATGAAAGCGGTGGAAGTCTTATGACCATTTTACTTCTAAACCTCTCCAAACGATGCTCATTTATGATTTTGTGTATGTAAGACAACGAGACCAACTGTCCACAGTGATCAGGCTCTACTACCTCCTCGTGGTATTTTTGTGCAGTCATGCTGCCTTGTATCCAAACGAGCTGGGTTCGTCCGCCAAGACGAATTCCTACCCACACCATGACTGTCCCGCCTTGGTATGAGTGGACCTCCTGAGGATGCCGTAGACAGTTTACTCTCTCTGGAGTTGTCGAAACGCGTGTTCTTCGTGAATCCGGATGAAACCCAAACCGGGAATCATCGGTTAACAGCACTATAGACCGTTGTTCCTCACTCCATGGTAAATGCTCCCGAGCCCACGAAAGCCGCCGACCTCGATTGCCTCGTCGCAATGCCTCCTCCTCCTTCGCACAGTTTTGTCGCTTACTGGCAGCTGGTGGTCCTCCTGGAGCCTTTGTAGTAGTTGCATCGCTGTGGTATTGGGTTGTCTTCTGGGGGCCGTTTGGAGAAATCGATCCTGTCTCTGCGTAGTGACACGATATCTACCCGTGTGCCGTTCAGCCACATCCCTAGTACTGCGATAACGTGACCACAACCTTGATATTACGTTTTGGCTGGTGTGTAGGATCTCAACAACGACGCGTTGAATAGCACCAAGGATTTTCTAACATGCCCACGACTTGTAACATTTCATCTCGACTCAAATGAAGACGTAACGTAACATGGCTCTTAAAGCTCACACAGCTACACTAGCTACAGCTACACGTTAAATAAAAAAAAACAACCTAATCCCTTTTCATTAATTAATATCAGTAGAACAATTTTAATTTTCCTTGACGTAACGAATTACTAAAAATTTTGGCGTCCGTATTTTGTTTTATCTTTTGTGTTTTTAGGGTTCCGTACCTCAAAGTGAAAAAACGGAACCCTTATAGGATCACTTTGTTGTCCGTCTGTCTGTCTGTCAAGACCCATTTTCTCAGGAACGCGTGGAGGTATCAAGCTGAAATTCATATCAAATACTCAAGTCTACTGTCCCTTGGAGCTGTGAAAAAATCAAACTCCTAAGCCAATGCAATCAAAAGATACAGCCGTTTATGCCGCAAATTTTCGACATTCGCAAGGGAATCAAAACCTACAGGGTACTTCCCGTGAACTCAGAATCTTGAAATTTGTCACGAAGCAACGTTTTATAGCACAGATAAAGGAAAAATTGCGAAAAGTATACTTTTTTAGTTACATCATATAATAAAAATATTTTTAATAATTTTAAACTTACATACCTACGGATTTGTTCGGAACCCTTGGTGCGCGAGTTCGACTCGCACTTGGCCAGTTTTTTATTTACATTTTTAAATTTTGAAAATAGAATAAAAGAGGTTTCAATATGTATTTAAATTTTTATGGAAAGGTATCCAGAGATTCTGTTGATGAGTGTAAACCTTAAGTTATTTTGTGCGCTTAGGAGGTGCCTTAAGATCTTTAGATACGGTAATCATCGACTGTCTGCTGTCTTAAGCTGTCCTCCTCATGTAAAACATAAACATATTGTAGGAATGTTTTTGAAAAAATGATTATACAGGCTAATTTCCTATCACTTGACACTGGCAAAATTACAACTGCACAAGCCCATTACCAAAGAAAAAAACGTCAATGGATTGATCGTCATTTTACATTTTTATTCCACCATTATTAAAGTTACGTTATTGAAGAGGGCATTAAAGAAAACAGATTTGCAGTGGTTGCTTTGCACAAAGTGATATTTTTTATGACGCTTCAAAAGTAAGACACCACCGTATTTTTTTTAACGCACTATCGACGGCTAGACTAACAATTCCTCTGTCGAAGACCTTATATGGAATTTCTTTTATGATCAGAGCGACCCCGTATTGTTAGAACTAGACGAGCTGTAAACTCTTAAAAGCGTATACGCTTTTTAATATGTCTGAATCAAAAATTCAACGCCAGAACTCGACGTTCAGACATATCTGTTTCCTCACAATGTTTTCCTTCACCGCCGAACACAGTAAATCAGCACTTAACTTACAATTATCAATCGCATAAGTGCCAGCGGGCATCGAACCTGGATCGCTCAAATACAGTGAAATTTAAGGCGCTTAGCAACTGAGCTATTCGTACCACGAATCTTACCTAGCATATAATTGCACCAAAATCAATCCTGGCTACGATCATGTGATTTTTCTCGTGTTCCTACAGTCGCTCTGCAATAATAATTTGTTTACAGGATGCAATGGTTGAGGACTACAGGAAGTCCTAGCAGCCAAATTGACAAAGCTGAGTTTAAGAACGAAAAAGAGGTTTCCGAGTATTCTTTCAATGATTTCAGTATTAGAAAAGATTATTAATTTAACTAGTGTATATGTTACAATGCAGTATTGTTATTAGATTTTTAACTATAATGAGATCATACATTTTAATCAATTTTTTTTATATTTGATGTTAATCTAATTAATTTTATGTTAATTTGATGTTAATCTAATTAATGTTAATCTAATTTCATCCCATTTATCTGTTTAAGTTATTTTTTATTCCTATAATAATCTCCATACACAAAATCCTTTTAAAAACTTCATACATTTTGTTTCAACTGTAGAGGTTTTGTCATGAATAAATATTTGACCTTAAAATATTTTTTTTTTATTGATTACCCTTTGTGATGTACAGATTTTATTGCCTCATTCGAGAATACTATTTTATTAAGCGCATCATATTGCGTAACCGCTACGTCATCTATACAGGAGGGTGAGGACGAGTGAATGATTGGTTTGTGAGTTTGCGTTTTATTTAACGTTCTACGCTTTTTTTTATAGAATAAGGGTGACAAACGAGCACACAGTCCACCTGATGGTAAGTGAATGCTGTGGCCTATAGACATCTACATTTATACTTGATTAAGAATCAAAATGCAGATGCGTTTCCGGGAAGAAAGGGTCTCCGGTTCTTTACACTCACCTGACGAAACACAGCAGCAATAAACTGTTATTTTACCTTGGTATTCTGTGAGAGCGTGGTCCTACCCCGTTAGAGCCGAGCCATTCGTGCTACAACTATAATATTGCTACAGCGTGGCTCTACCGCGTAAATTCAAATATTGATGAATGATTTTAAAATAATACCACTACGTTTATTTTATTAGTTACAGTTACAGTAGCTGTAACTAAAGTCCACTGCTGATCATAGCCTTCCCATAGATTGCGTCATAGAGGAGATATTTGCCGTAGTTGCCACACAAGCAGGTTGGCAACCGCAGTTTTATTTTTAGACGTTATTAGGAAGACGCTGCTGCCCATCGCCTGATTTGTTTCCCTCTGCCGCCTCTTAGGACACCCACTGGGTGATATGGGGTAGTGGATATTCTTACACCGCTACTACACGGTTTATTTAATCACTGATATATATGTTAGCCAATTTTATCTTAAGTCGTCGCCGTATTTACGATAGGCGGAGTTAAGAATCCCGTTTGACATTATTAATTTCCTCTGTCAGCCAATCTGGCGATTTAATCCCCAGAACAATGTCGGCAGGTGAAAATATCAAATGAAATAAGTATATTTTCAACTAAGCGACTATTCTGGGTAATCGTGGTTTCTTGCTAGTCCTACCCAGGACAGAGGTTTTTTTTTCGAACCAGAAGGTAAGATAAAAAAATGAATTTAATATGAATTATTTATAATCTATTTTGAATAAATACACACACAAATACGTATGTTACATATTATACATGACGATCGTTTGCATGGCTCCGCCATCCTGAATTGACATAATATGACGTCTCTAGGAGTATTTGTATTTTGTACCACTTTCTTTATCAATGTAACTCTACATTTTTAGAGAAAAATGCAACTAAAGGTGACCGTATCAGCTATTCATACACATATACATTCGTTCAACAAAGATGCTTGCCTGCTGAATTTCAAAAGATAAATCGAATCAAAAATAACTTACATTTACAACTGATGGGGTGACCAATTATTCCAAGTGCTAATTGCACTGCACACTGTAGGTTGGGGTAATTTTTCAAATTTAGGGAGTTTTATGAAGCGTAGGTTTGGGATGTGTAAGTTTTGTCCGCCATCCACATCATTTTATCATTTGCCTTTACGAACTCACAATAAATAATAGAAGAAATTCCATATGAAGAAGATTTTTAATACGTATTAATATTGGTTATTCTGTGACAAATCTTTATATATAAAAATTACTTGTCACGTTGTTTGTCCTCGATGAACTCCTAAACTACTGAACTGATTTCAATGAAATTTTGCACTGTGTACAGTTTGATCCAACTTGAGAGATAGGATAGTTTTTATCCCGATAAGTGACCCTCAATTTTTTTATTGCTAATCTCAGGAGTTTTTTTAGGAAAGCAAATGGTCATCGGAAAGATCAGAACAACGTCTGCCTGGTCAATTAGTATAAGTATATAAAGTTATACGGGGCCCGTGCTGAATGCGTTTGCTTTTGCATTACATTTGCTTGCATTGTTTTCTAAAATATGTAGTTACATTGAAAAAGTAAGCGGTACAAATATTCCTAGGAGGCAGTACCTGGGATTAGTGCACACTTCAAATGACAATTTATGGTAGCCAAGCTATGTTGACAAACGTAAAACAAGAATTAGTATATATGTAATTCGTTTCCTTCTAATAGTATTGTCGGAACCAAGTCCTAAACGAAACTACCACCACCACCTAACTACCTTACATAAATAACTTCAATAACAACACATCTATCGTATCATAAGGCTTTTTACTTGATTAAACAACGTCGTAGTCCTTGACGTGCCCCTTACTTAATTTATTAGACTTGACAGTAATATATATTATATCGAATTACTTTTTCTTTGAAGTAGTGATTTTAATCTATAACAATGCCATATTTGGTTTATATAAATAGTATATTTGTAAAAGACAATTTCAAAGATTTTCAGCATTAAGGGGATTGTAAAGTGCGGTGCGAGTAGGTATTTTAAAAAATGCTATCTGTTTCATACCGCTCGCTCCGTATCGCCATATCTCGTGTGATAGAGAGAGTTGCAAGTCTTGGAGGCAATTGCCTACATTTCCTTTTTGAAATATTGTTTCGGGCGATAATAAAGTTGACATAAAATTAATTTGCGTACATCCGCTCGATAAAATAAAATTGTGTCTTACCTAGTTTGAAGAGCATCTCCCGCCCTCCCTCAATTGCGTGCACTATCCCCGTCACCACTAATCCCAGCACCACTACTCCCAACACCACTACACTAGGAAAGACACACCACTGACGACAATACGACACGTGTTTCGCCTCTACACGAGTCATCCTCAGGTGATATAGACTCTACGGTGGCTAACCGCTGAGTTGACTTACGCAACTTCGCCGCTCACTCAGCAAAGTAACGCCTGATTCTATTAATTATCGGGCGATAATGTTTTCACCCCCTATCTAACGAAATGAGACAATTTTGGTTAATTGCCTCGCTTGGCTGTCGGATTGGCGATTGCAGCAACCGAAGTCTCCTCGCCTTTGAGGCTGGTGCTCGTCGCCGATGTGAGTATTTCTTGTCTGGTGTAAACGTGACGGTTGTACTGCCACGTATTTATTTATAGAATAAGGGTGACAGTCGTACACACAGTCCACCTGACGGTAAGTGGATGCTGTGACCCATAGATATCTAGATCTAGATCCTCGATTAAGAATCAGAATGTTTCCTAGATTCACTAGGTTTCCAATGAAAAGGGTCTCCGGTTCTCTACACTCACCATACAAATCACAGCAGCATTGAACTGTTATTTTACGCTGGTATTCTGTGAGAGCGTGGCCTTCAGTCACTCGGGGCCCAAGTCGAGCCGATCCATTCATACTACAACTTGTATTATTATTTATTCCGTGTTACTACCATAATATAGCTGCAACATGACTCTACCACGTATTTAAGATCTTTCTCTGGCATATCATATAGTCATGCCTCTACAAATGTTAAGTTTCTTTAATATAAATAAATTTTAAAAAAATATTTTCGATCTAATGTTGAGTTTATTTATTGTAAACTAGCAACCCATCCCGGCTTCGCCTAGATAGAATCTATTAATGTGGCGCTATTTAATTTTAAAGTAACAATGTTTCGATTTCATAAAAAATAAAACCTTAAGTTTTCCTAACAAAATATAGACTAGGTCACTCCTGCATTCGTGAAGTTTCATTACAATCAGTTCAGTCATTCTGAATAATAGTTCGGACAGACATACAGATAAATTTTTTATTTTTTTTATAGGATAGCGTAACAAACGAGCACACAGTCCACCTGATGGTAAATGGTTACTGTGACCCATAGAAATCTACATTTATCCTCAATAAAGAATCAAAATGCAGATGCGTCGTCATACGTGAGGACTAAGATGGAATGCCTCTTTTCCATGAAACACAGCAGTGTCAAGCTGCCATTTTATGCTAGTATTCTGTGAGAACGACTATACACGCATGCTACAGCATGGCTCTACAACGTATAAAAAAATGTTATTTGTCTCAATAACGTGCAAATAACCCCCAGCTCAATGAAAGGCAGTTATTTTGATATTACAAGCACTTCAAATGTGTATAGACACAGAATATAAATAATGCTACGTATAACGTAATATAATAAATAGATAAATTGCTCAATAAAAATCAGGTTTCACAATGCGTCGCGCCCAGGCAACTCACGCCGGTGTTAAGCTGATTTCTATGCATGGAGAATTCAGAATAATATGCTTTAGGAATATTTTGCGGCCTTTTCACTTTGGGTTCAGATTTTACGCCAATGATCTCAATGATGGATCAGCTAGTTTTTAAAATAATTAAAAGTAAAGTACGCATGTTTATGTAGGTATTAAAATAAATATTCCAGGTTGATATTATAATGTGGCGAACCGAGAATAATTTGAAAGCTTATCTGTTTCTCACCGAAGCAGTCGCTAGGGATATCTATGCGCATACATTAGAGCACAGAGCAGGGTATTCCAAGTGAAAATTTCGTGAATTGATTTTTTTTTACGTTAATAAAAAGAACCCTGCAATCCGTAGAGATTAAATGTAAATAAAATGAAAGACTAGAGTTTGTTATTCTGTCAGCGGTACCCACTGGACAGCTCTCAGTTACAAAATGAAAGACGAGAATAATTTGATAGTCCTTGATTGTGACAAGTTTTGTTAAGAATAATTAGTAGGTAACTAAATTTACGAAAAATGAAATACAATTCCTTATTTAATATTTATCATTACTATAAACGTTACAGCCTCTTAAATTCTACCTACTACTGAACAAAGGCCTCCCCCATAGATAGTCTAATAAAGAGGATATTTGCCATAGTTGCCACGCCTGGCG